TAATCATATAGTCTACTACATACCCAGGCTATATGGTATAGCTTATTGCTCCTAGGCTACAGACCTGTACAGCATGATACTGTACTGAATACTGTAGGCAAGTGCAACTTAGTGGCAAGTATTTGTGAATCTAAGCATAGAAAAGGCATGGTAAAATCATGGTATAAGAGACCAAAAATGATACACTTACATAGAGCACTTACCATGAATGAAATTGCTCTGGGTGTCAGTAAGTGAGTGGTGAATAAATGTGAAGACCTAAATTATTACTGTGCACTACTGTGGACTTATAAATGCTGTACACTTAGGTTACATTAAATTTTTAAATTTATTTAAAAATAAAGGAATTGTACCATGACATGAGTATGACTGTGGTATAATTTGGTGATAGGAATTTCTCAGCTCCATTATAATCTTACAGGACCACCATCATGCTGCAATCTGTTGTTGACTGAAATGTCATTATGCAACATGTAACTGTATTCCTTTCTCCTATCTATTTTTTGGGGGAAGTATACCAAGGATTAGTGTTAATTCTATTGCGGATGGTAGAACTAACTAGCAAAGCCACTGGGCCTGGGCTTTTCTTTGTAGGAAGATTATTGATTGCTAAATTAATCTCTTTACTTGTTATTGCTCTATTTAGAATTTCAATTTTTTCTAGAATCAGTTTTGGGAGTTTGTGTCTTTAATACAATACCATTAATGGTACATATCAACACTGGGCCAAGAGGTGTCCATTTAATATTGTTTCTGAGTGTATCTGTGAGGGGTTTTCTGGATGAGATTTGCATTTGAATCCGTGGATTCATTAAAGTAGATTGCCCTCCCCAATGTTGGTGGGCATCATCTAATCCACTGAGCGCCAGAGGAGATCAAAAGACAGATGGAAGAGGAATTCATGCCTTTTGATTCTTGCTTTTCTGCTTCTGTTGGAATCTCGGTCTGCTCTTACCCTTTTACTGCGATTAACACCATTGGCTCCTCTGATTCTCAGGCCTTCAGACTTGGATGAGAATTACATACCCAGCTTTCCTGGGTGTCCAGCTTGCAGATTGTGGAACTTCTCAGCTTCCGTAATTACTTGAGCCAATTCCTCATAATAAATCTTTTCATATATATATGAAAGATAGATATATAAAAATATATAATATATAATATAAAATTTTATATATTGTTTATATATAGCACATAAAAATATATATCTATATATTTATAATATATAAATAATGTATAAATATATATTTTATTATATATACATCTTTTCATATAGATAAAAGATATATATCAATATATATTATATAGATGGATATATAACTATATAATATATAAATTACTTATTTATATATTATTTAAAATATTATCTATAATTATATAGATATAACACACATTTATATATTTTATTTTTAATAAATATTTTATTTAATATATATTAAATAATATATATGCATATAACATGTAAATATATAAAATATATATTCATACATGTATCTTTTATATATATGAAAAGATTTATCACGAGGAATTGGCTCAGGTAATTATGGAGGCTGAGAAGTTATATTTATATAATTTCTTAATTTATATATATATATCTCCTATTGGTTCTGTTTCTCTAGGTAACCCTGACTAATACAGTGTCTTTAAAGGAATTTATCCATCTATCTGGGCTAATTTGTTGGCATACAACTGTTAATAGTATTCTACACTCCATTTTATTTCTGTAAAGTCAGTAGTAATGTCTCCTCTGTTTCTGATTTTGGTGCTTTGAGTCTTCTCTATTTGTTACTTGGTCCACCTAAAAGGTTTGTCAATTTTGTTGATCTTTTCAAAAAGCTAACTTTTGGCTTCACTAATTTTCTCTATTTTTTTCTATTATCTCATTTATTTTCCCTCCAATCTGTTATTTCTTTTATTCTGCTTGTTTTGGGTTTATTTTTCTCTTCTTTTTCTACTTTCCTAAAATGTAAGGTTAGGTTATTGATTTGAGATTTCTTATTTTCTATTAAATAATATAAATGTTTATAGTTATAAATTTCCCTGTAAGCATTGCTATAGCTGCCTTTCATAAGTTTGGATATGTTGTTTTCATTTTCATTCATCTCAAAATATTTTCCACTGTCCTTTGAAGTATCTTCTTTGATTCTTTGCTTATTTAGAAGTATTTTGTATAATTTCTACCTATCTGTGAATTCCCAACATTTCCTTTTATTATTTATAAATAATTTATTATTTATTATATTATAAATTTATTTATTTATTAGTTATATTATATTATTATATTATAAATTGTATTATATTATATAGTTATAATTCTATTATATTATAAATAATTATATTATGTCTATAAAACTATTATTTATAATTCATTCCATTGTGGCCAGCAGAACAGTATTTATACAATTCCTTAAATGCCTGCCACCAAATTTGAGTTCGTACCACTTCACGTGAGAGCTCTGGTGTATTGTGTGTGAGGGCATCAGGCCTTACATGCTCCTCGGCATTGCATTATAACTGTGTCTTAGCTTCACTTTTCTGCTTCCACAAGAGCCTCAAAGTCAGCTAGAGGTGAGAGCTTAGGGCTCGTTCGAATGTCCTTTCCTGAGCATGGCATTGCCCTGGGCATGGGCACAGCCCTCCACGTACCATGACGCTTGTCAGATTCCAGGGGATAGCGTGGAGGGTTTAGTGCCCAACTGTAGCGGGATTCTTCGTCCGTGCAGGCTTTGTGTCCTTCTCAAAATTTTTAGTCAGCTTCTTGGCTCCACTCAAGCCTGTTTACTGCCGCTTCAGTTAGCTGTGATGCTAAATAAATGTTGCTGATTGCTTTTTGATTAAATACCCAGGTTTTTTTTTTTTTTGTTTTAAGATGGAGTCTCCGCTCTGTTTTTTTTTTTTTTCTCTCGCCTGGGCTGGAGTGCAGTTGGTGCGATCTCAGCTCACCGCAAGCTCCGCCTCCCGGGTTCACCGCCATTCTCCTGCCTCAGCCTCCCGAGTAGTGGGACTACAGGCGCCCTCCACCCACGCTGGCTAATTTTTTGCATTTTTAGCAGAGACGGGGTTTCACCGTGTTAGCCAGGATGGTCTCGATCTCCTGACCTCGTGATCTGCCCACCTCGGCCTCCCAAAGTGCTGGGATTACAGGCGTGAGCCACCCGGACCGGCCATAAATACCCAGGTTTTTTAAAAAGGCTACTTGCACTGAGCAAGGTCTGAGTCAGGTGAAATAAATATAAGTACTTAGAATGGGAGTTTAAAGGGAAGTGCCAGACGGGTCACATAATGACAATACTGTGAGAATTGTTGGGACATGGGAGCCTCAACCCTGATCTGCTCCCTCCAATGCCTGCTAGGCTGCTGGTTTTCACCCTGATTTGAGCAGCTGTTGGCTTTTAAGACTATTCTGGAGCTGAGAAGAGGGAGATGGGTATACGGCAAGTTAAAATGCCACACAGCTTGCTATTCTTACCAAGATTCAGCTGTTTTTCTTCATTAAACACTCCTTGGATTGTTACAAGCCTTTAATTTCCCCGTCCAAAGAAGTTGATTGTGACAACTTTTGTCAGTATTTTGTTGCTTTTATGTAGGACTGTATTTTTGGAGATCCTTCCTCTGCCATTCCTGCTGATGTCCTAATTTCTTACTTTTAAACTAAAAATATACAGACTTGGAAAGTCTATTATTTTTTCTACCCACATTCCAGTACATCATCCAGTGCACCCCATTTGGGAGGCTACCAGTATAAAATAAAATCTTCCTTCAAAAAACTCAATTGAGGTTTATATTCTATCTGAGGGGCATCACATGATTAGGACGAGTCCTTCTGCCTTTTCCAGACCTCCTGTGGCAGCTCCATTCTCTTGGTCCGTTGGATTGAAACTCAGAATTAGCTGACACTTCCCTTCCTCTCCTGCTCCCACATTCCCTCAAGTCTTCCCTCACAATCTTATCCACACATGACCCTCCTTTTCCATTACCAATGTACCTTTGTCTCTTGCCTGCCACCATCTCTACCCTGTTTACCAACAGTGAATGAATCTTCATATAAATGTCAGTTTGATGAGTTTGCTCCAGGGGCTCAGAGGTGTCCACCAAACTCTTCTTGCCTTCTGGATAAAACATAGCCTTTTTAGTGTGGCTGTCCAAGTTTTCACAATCTGGACCCAACTTGAACTGGAAGTCATACAACTTGGGTTCTGACTCCAGTTTAGTTTGTTTCGATTGCACAGAGATATAGGGCAATATTGAGTGCCCACTATATGCTGAACCGATAGTTCAGGGAGATATAGATACGTAAACCTCTAGTTACAATATATTGTAGCCAAGAACTAGGTAGAAGAATCAATTAAGAAGACATGTGAGGCCGGGCATGGTGACTCACACCTGTAATCCCAGCACTTTGGGAGCCCGAGGCGGGCGGATCACCCGAGGTCAGGAGTTTCAGACAGGCCTGGCCAACATGGTGAAACCTTGTCTCTACTAGAAGTACAAAAAAAAAATTAGTTGGGCGTGGTGGTGCACGCCTGTAATCCCAGCTACTTGGGAGGCTGAGGCAAAAGAACTGCTTGAACCCAGGAGGGAGAGGTTGCAGTGAGTTGGGACCGTGCCATTGCACTCCAGCCTGGGCAACAAGAATGAAGCCCAGTCTCAAAAAAAAAAGAAGACATCTGTGAAAGCGTCTTTGAAAAGTATAAAAAATTGCATTCAGTAGATAAAGAAGAACAAACAACTATAATATCTCATGATTATCAAAATAATTATAAACAAAAATAAATAGAAATTATAAAGATGCTCAGTTTTTATTACCTACTTAGTCTTGGTGTCTTCATTTGAATAATGGTTTGGGCAACTTAATGAGAATAAATGCTTTATTACAGGTGAACATTTTGTGGGGTACCTTTTATAAATAGAGTTCTATAATCACACTGTGAAACGTTAATGATTACTGATACCTCGCCTTCATAATAAAAAACAACCATATGAGAAAAAAAGCAGTTACTTACGCTCTGCTTTTAACTGTCCAAGGATGGAATTTTCTCCTCTGCACATGGTTCTGAAAATATATAAAGGAAAAAAATAATTACAGAGGTTTCAAAACAACCAATCCCATGCAGTATCTGTAGGTTTAATTCTAACACAAGTAAAAACAGAACAAGTGCTTCCATGAGAAGATGCTACATATATTTCTAAATGCTAAAAAGTTACATGAATATCACTTTTGTTACTAATGGGACATGATAGTTGTTTTGAGTTGGGTAAATAGAAACGTTATAAAATTCATGTCAGATTTTAGAAAGAGAGGCTATTGAAAAACGATGGGTCATGAATGAACTTTCCCTCTTACAAAACTGGATAACAGCAAAGATAAATTTAGAATGCATCAGTAGATAAGAATACTTACAGAATCACATTGCTCTCAGAGGTGAAAAGGGCAAGCACTTAGCAGAATAATTTATGAATTAAACTATTAGAATGGGCTGTCTCTAAAGTTAGCAAAACCACTTAAAAATGAAAAATATAGTCTCAGATAAAGGACTCTGCTAATGATTTTGTTTCTTAAGACTCTGATAATCGTTCATGAATTATAAAATCTGACAAAACCAAAAATTCTATGCTTCATCTGCTTGTTCTATGAGAGTAATAAAGAGTATACTTATGCCTGAGAAATGCTGATATTATTAAAGATGATGCCAGCAAATAGAGATGTTTTTGCATAGTAAAAGGTTATAGATTTTGTTTCTGAACAAAAGTCAAATGTGTTATTTCGTTCAGCTGGTTCGAAGGCAAGAAAATAGTCATAGGAAACAATTACAATTGACAATATTGCAAAAATAATATTAGAATGGTGAATGAAATTGATAAAATTCAATTAAACATTATGTCAGAGCCTTAAATACTTGAAAAGCTTTTTTTATCATTTTGTAAATCAGATAATATTAGAAATGTGCAAATCTTCAGTCCAAGTATATAGGCCAAAGCACAGTTAAAGCTCCCTTGTACTGCAACAAGGCAAAGCACCCTGAAGGAAACAAACAAAATATATCCTTGAAATGCTGGCAGATAAACAGATACAAGTCTGAAACATCAGTGAGAAAAAAGAGCATTAAAAAAAAAATTTCCACTACAATGGTGCACTCAAACTGGGCACAGATCCTCCAGCAGGAGCATCTGGGGAGCGGGCCCAAGCAGGAGGGCATCTAAGCCTCCACCCCCGATTTGACCAAGGCCCTGACCCCTAATCTGCTTTACTTACCAAGGGTTCTATGTAAGGTATCGTTCGTCCTCTCCCACCTTTCAAAAGGGTTTGATTAGAAAGGTGAGAAACTACAGGTGGTTCACAAAAATAAGAGATTTTGGTTAAGTGACCCTGAAAGAAGGTCAGAGGTGCCTTTCCAGCCCCTTCTATGCAGGCTCTCTAGCCTGTGCTCCCCCCAGCCACCAGCTAGCACTTTCTAGCCCTTTTCACAATGCTCCACTGACCATATCTGAAGCCTTAAGAGGAACCCAAGTGTGCCCTTTTAAATACATATAAAAACTCAGCTTTTAAAAATATCAAGCACAAAACTTTCCCTAACATTTTAACAAAGATGTGGTAGAGAAAACAAAATTCCGGAAATGTATTTACTAACAGAAGCTATCATTATCAACCTTGTTGAAGGACTTGCTACCTAAAGAATTATAACCAAACACAAGCAAATCACACCATTTCAGGCATTAATTTTTTCTCTACTGCAAAGTACATGTAAATCTCAATAGCTATTTAACCACTTAGAGATAAGTTTCAATCAACATTATACATATATAGAAATAGACAATAACTATACAAGAGGGACTAATATTTTAGTTCGTTTATGTTTGCCATGTGTCTTAGGCCAATCATTTATCATTGTAGACTCCATTTGAATTTTACCAACTAGCAAACAGGCCAAGATTTGAAAGTAAGATAAAGTGTTCATTCGTTCCCCATTCCACTGAATGGAGGCAGAGAAACACTGCCATTCTCTTCATCAGCTTACACGCATGACCCAAAGCTCAAAACAGACCATTTAGAGTTTTGGCACCTGTAGTTGAAGTGCATGATTGCCTGTAGAGCATTTCCTCCGCCGGTTGAAATGTCTCCTTCGAACCCTGGCAGAAGCGGTATCACGACATATACCCGGTATTTCTGGTTTTCCCTGCAAAGGTCAGATGCAGAGAAATTCACCCCAAAAATAAAAGGTAGTATCAGCTTTAAATGACAGCCAAGCAATTCACATGGTTTTTGAGATTGAGTGAATGGCTTCCTACAACACGTCAACACGTTCTGTCACATTTCAGGACTTGGGAGGGGGGTGCTTTTGGACTGGAGGACAGAAGCTGTCATCCAGGCTATCGCTTCATAGCCTGAATAACAAGCTGAACTTGGCAGTAAAGTAGAAATTGTACCCATTGTCTCTCTACAGCATAATCGCTTGTAGGACAAAATGCAGTGTAAGAAATCCTTGCTTGGATCCCACGGAAAGAGGCAGGGAGAGGAGGCTACAACAAAGTTTAGAAAAAAGATGTTATCTTAATAGTTAACACAGTACCTAGCTAGAGTCATGGAAACAGTAGACATTCAGTTAATAATTGTTGAGTAAATCAGTTCTCATAGCCAAGATCTCAGGGGCAAAAAGACACACTGGATCTATTATATTTTCCAAAACAGAAGTCATCATTATCTACTTAGAAACTCTGAGTTTTCAGCTGTAAAATGTTACCCTAGGCCCTTTAAGAATTCCGAGAGGCTGGCCGGGCACAGTGGCTCATGCCTGTAATCCCAGCACTTTGGGAGGCCGAGGCAGGTGGACCACGAGGTCAGGAGATCGAGACCATCCTAGCTAACACGGTGAAACCCCGTCTCTACTAAATATACAAAAAATTAGCCGGGCGTGGTGGTGGGCGCCTGTAGTCCCAGCTACTCGGGAGGCTGAGGCAGGAGAATGGCGTGAACCTTGCAGTGAGCAGAGATGGCGCCACTGCACTCCAGCCTGGGCGACAGAGCGAGACTCTGTCTCAAAAAAAAAAAAAAAAAAAGAATTCTGAGTGGCCAATATGTACATTTAAGCCCCCTGCACATACAACACAGTATTTCATGTCCCACTGTCTCAAGTGATTAACGACAACCTTTGACGGAAAATGAATTCTACTCAATGATATAACAATAGAAGAAGAAAGTGTAGGTTTCCCTCTTTGACAGGCATTCAGAAAGTCAGAAATTTGAAGTATGCTCCAAATAGGTACCATTTATTCAGAATCAAAAGCTATTAACATTCTTGTCTCTATTTATAGGATATACAGGAAGAAGAAAAAGCCTCGAAAGGAATGTGACATACACTGTGATCAATAAATCGCGCCGGGATATCTGGGAGGACTACAGTCACACAAACGTGTGTTGTTATTGGTTAATTTTCAAGTCCGATCTACTTAAACTTCTCATTTCTAAAGTGCATTTTCTTCTAACCAACTAAAATTTTCTCTCATGTGAATATTATAGTACTCTTTGGGGGATCAGATTTTATTACTGATGTCTCTGAATGTCGATGTATACATGAGGGCAAGTGGGGAGAGAAGTTCAGGGCAAAAATGACTACCAACAATGGAATTTGGAGGCCTGTGAGTTTGGCTGCCTTGCTAAGAAACAAGGAAATTAAGTAGGTTGTTGTAATGGCATAGATTAATCACTAGATGGCAAACATAGTTTGAGTTGGAAAGAAAACATTAAAAAATGTAAACTGTTCAAGTTTGCTGCTTGATAAGAATAAAAGGCTCATATCCCTATATGGTGAGCAGGATAGTGAAAAAGAACAGAAACAAACAAACAAACAAACAAAAAACCTAAGCTATTAAGCTATTTCCCCACAGCCAACATTTAAAACTCAAAATAAATTAAACTGGACACTTAAAAATGGATGTCATTTGGCCTCAACTGCCTTTTCAGAATTCAGGATTATACTGTCTTACAGTATAATCCTCCCATAACCACAGCCCAGTGACAGGAGACTACCACCCTTTGTTCAGAGGTACACCTTCCTACCAATAAAGCTTGGCTTATCAGCCTTCCGGGCCTCCAATGAATCCCACTTCTTCTAGGTCACCTTATCGGCTACTTCCTCTGCCAAGCCATCTTGGCCCTTCCAGTCCGAGTTGGTTTATTCTTGCCTCGGCACTCACAGCACATGGCTAGGATGTCTGTTCAGCACTCTTTCTGCTTCACACGATAGTGATACACACATCTGCTCTCCAGGCTACGTGATAAGCTCCTTGGAAACACAGGATGCCTGTCCACATATCTTTCTGGTTTTGATAGTGCTCAATCAAGAACCCTGGCACATGCTATACACGCGGTATTATTTGCTTTAGGAGGATGGGATCAGGTTGGAAAAATGTTTCTGGGGAAGTTTCTGGTAGAGAAGAGGCTAAGCTGAACAGGAGGTTTTTTCTTTAAATTAAATTACATTTTATTTGTAAAATGTATATAATATATTACATACTTTTTTCTTTAAATAAAGTTATATTTTCTTTAAATTAAATTACATTTTATTGTGGTAAAATACATATAATATAAAATTTGTCATTTTACCCTTTTTTTTTTTTTTCTAAGATGGAGTTTCACTCTTGTTGCCCAGGCTGGAGCGCAATGGCGTGATCTTGGCTCACCACAACCTCTGCTTCCCGGGTTCAAGCAATTCTCCTGCCTCAGTCACCTGAGTAGCTGGGATTACAGGCATGTGCTACCATGCCTGGCTAATTTTGTATACTTTTGTATTTTTAGTAGAGACGGGGTTTCTCCATGTTGGTCAGGCTGGTCTCGAACTCCTGTCCTCAGGTGATCGGTCCGCCTCGGCCTCCCAAAGTGTTGGGATTACAGGTGTGAGCCACCATGCCCAGCCCCCATTTTTAAGTGTATAGTCCAATGGCATCAATTACATACACAATATTGTATAACTATCATGATGATCTATCCCAAACCTTTTCAACATCCCAGACAGAAACTCGGTAACTATCCAGTCATAACTAGCCTGTTTTTCCCTGCCTGCACCCCCTGGTAACCTCTAATCTGCTTTGTCTTTATGAATCTGGTGGTTCTGGATTTTGCATGTAATTAGAATAATACAATACTTGTCCTTTATGTCTGACTTGTTTCATTTAGCATAACATCTTCAAGGTTCACCCATGTTGTGGCATGTGTCAGAATTCCCTCCTTTTTAAGACTGAATAATATTCCATGGTATGTACATATCACATTCACCTGCTGATGGACACTTGTGCTGTTTCCACCTTTTGGCTATTGTGAATAATACTGCTATCAGTATTAGCATACAGTATCTGTGAGTCCCTGTTTTCAGTTCTTTGGGGACTATACTCAGGAATGGAACTGCTGGGTCATATGGTCATTCTATGTTTAGCATTTTGAGGAACCACCAAATAGATTACTTTCAAATGAGTAACATATGCTCATAGTACAAAATGTAAGAGGTAGATGATTATACAGTGAAAAAAATTCTCTCTCACTCCTTCATCCTGAGGGCAACTCCTGTTAACAGTTTCCTCCATGTTCTTTTAGAAATAGTGTATGAATTTGTAAGAATATATGTACTTTTTCCTTCTACACAAATATTAGAATACTATAAACACTTTAAACACTTTTCTGAACATGATTTTTACCATTTAACAGGGTATCTTGGAAATCCTTCCACATCAGAACATAGTTGCTTTTTAAGAACAGGGACCATGTATCTGTACTTTAATATTTAATATTCTACCATGTATCTGTACTTTAATATTTAAACCAGTTCTCTATTGACAGGCATTTAAATTGCTTCTAATTTTGTTTCCATTTCAAAATAAATATTTTGATATTTATGTTGACTAACAAAAGTAATTTTTTACTTTTGTTGGAAAAATCTTACAAGTGGTATTGCTGGTCTTTTGACACAAATGTTTGTGATGATGTTTGTAAGGGACAGTTCTATTTTATCCTTTTTTTAAGCAAAAATGATTTTACAAGGGAGATCGCATATGTAGGATATTGAGAAATGTCCTATAAAAATATTATAAGACATTCTTGCAATTTTAGTTTGTAGGAATCAGAATATTCACATTTTCTTGTTTTTAGGACTCTCTTAGCTCCATTTCAAACCCTTTCCTATTTTACAATATAGTAGCTCATAAATTTCCTGAATGATGAAAATTTTGAACTGTGTTCAGCAAACTAGTGGAAAGTATTTAGATTTTCGCTGCTGTAGAAAAAAGGGCTCTGGAATTTCAAATGCAAAATTGTGGTTGAATGTAAGCCAAAGCACAGAAGATTCCATGGGACACTATGTCCAATCTGCCTCCTTGATCCAATCCACAGAGGACAAGAGTTCCAGCTGCTGAGGAATCTAATGCCCTTCGGAAATACTGAATCCTCACAACATGGGGGTTGGGGAAATGATAGCAATCAGCTTAGGGTAAGAATCTGAGCCCCTAGTGTATAAAATATATATGATCTTAAAAGCAAGATAATGGCTAGTGGGCACTAAGCCCCGGATAACTACCCATCATGCCAGCAACCACTTCATCCACATTAGTTCAATGTCTATAAAACAGCATTCTCAGGCTTCTTGTTAAACGTTTTTCTTCAAAATTCACTAACTCTTATGGCAGTGCTATGTATAATAGCTAAAAATTGGAAATAAATGTCCAATAATAAAGGGATGGTTAACTACATTATGTTATAGCCATTCAATGGAATGATCATCTTGCAGCCACTAAAAATGACCACTATGAAGGCTCAGTAGCACGATACTGCAGGTACTGTGTTAAAATGACCCCAATGTAATGTTATAAGACAATAAAAATGTGGCAGCCCAATGCTACAAAACATTAAATCATTTTTCCCTTTAAATGTGTTAACTTCCCCCACTCTGTGACCGGAGAAACGAAGCAGGCATTGCTCCCGGGGTGGCACTCTCACCTCGGAAGAGTGGTGAGAAGCAGGACACAAAAACATCAACTTCTTTTAGATTTGGGGAACTGGAGAGAGATTCTCTAAGCGGAGGCAGGAGTGTAGAGAAATGAGAGCAAGACTCAGGGCAAGGAATCAGTCCTTCGGCCTCAAGCTGAATTGTGGGGAAAACAGGATAGACCCCACTCTCTTTTCAATGTGAGG